CTGAAGCAGGAATTCCTTTTCTCCTCTCCTTTTTAGAATATAAAATAAAAAATATAATTCTTACTATTTAGTAAGCAGTTTGCTCTGTGTATGATCCTGTGCTGGGTACTGACATGTATGTTTTCATTTAATCTCTAAAATAATCCTATGAGATCATCAGTGATATAATCTTCGTTTTACAGATGAGTGTATGCGCTACTGAAGAAACACAAATCCGTTTTGTCATTCATTTCTTGATTCATTCATTCATCTGGCAAACACACCTCAGGCACTAAAATATACCAAAAAATGATCACTTTCAGTGACAAGGAACTCAGTACCGGCAAAGGCAACCTACCACATTTTTGGACAACTCTAATTCATGGAAAGTTCTTCCTCATACTGATCCGAAGTATGTCTCTGTGTAACTAACAAGGTCACTGTGGTGTCCTCATGTCACACAGAACAAAACAAGGAAGAAATGGTCAATGCACGAAGCTTATACGAGACAACCAACATTTTCTGTTCCTGAGTTCAGCTCAGTGCTGTTTTCCATTCTTTTATGGTTTTCTATGGTTTTCATGTCAACCCTATTCTTTGGGGACAGTAGATAGTTAATCCCATGAATGCAGGAAGGGTGATATAGTCTTTCCTCTACATAGTTTTGAAAAGCCCTTGATACTTTGGAGGGACTGTCACAAGGCAATAAATTTGCCACCCACACAAAAGTGAGTGTATGCAATGCCAGCCATAAATATCAGGACTAGTTCTGTACTACCAGGAAGTCCACAAATACTGAGGCCATGAGGAGGACACATTTTAGAGCCTCCCTTCTATGTCCTCTCTTTGGTAGCATCTTACTCATGGCCTTCCATGTAGTCAAAATCCTAGCAGACCCTATATTCTCCACTCTAAGTGAAGAATTTGAATGTAAAAAGGAGGTCCTGGTCAAGGTCATGGAGACAGGAGACAGAGGTGAAGCCAGGCATCACTGCTCCAGAAGAATCCACTATTGACCCACATGGCAGAATCCCACCCACTGCTCACAGGTCTGCAAAAGACCAGGCATTTCAACTGGCAGCCACCCTGCCCCGGAACTCCAAGACAAACAAGATAATCTTTGTTAACAGGCTTTCCCTCCAAGCCTTTGGGGGCCTTTCTGGGAAATCTGTTTTGCTCAGAGCCTTTGGACCTTAACTTACGACTATTTCCATCATTGTTATAGCCTGACTGTAGCATGACCTAAGAAGTCTAACTGTAACCAATATAATAATTTTTAAAAAGAATGTAACAATAGTTAACACTTACTGAACACTTACTACATGCCAGACACTCTACATGGAACTATTTCAGTGACTCCTCACAGCAGTACTGAGTTTGGAAAGTATTCCATTTTCTAGATGATGAAACTGAGGCAGAGATATTAAGGAACTTATTTAGGCTACTCATTACATGGCAGGACTGGGTCTCAAATGCACATGTCTGATTCTACCCACTATGCTTTCCTTTCAAGAAAATAATATGAGTAACTGCTAACATTATGGCAGGTACCATTCCAATCACTTTGCATATTTCAACTCATTTCATCTTCATGATAACCCTTTTCACAGCTGAGGAAAGCAGGTTAAAGGAACTGTCCCAGGTCACACAGGAGGCACATGGTAGAACTGGGTTTTGACCCCTGCTAGTGTGATGCCAGAGACCAGACCATATTCTTTTTTTTTTTTTTTTTGAGACAGAGTCTCACTGTGTTGCCCAGGCTAGAGTGCCGTGGCATCAGCCTAGCTCACAGCAACCTCAAACTCCTGGGCTCAAGCAATCCTTCTACCTCAGCCTCCCGAGTAGCTGGGACTACAGGCATGCACCACCATGCCCGGCTAATTTTTTTTTTCTATGTATTTTTAGTTGTCCAATTAATTTCTTTCTATTTTTAGTAGAGATGGGGTCTCGCTCTTGCTCAGGCTGGCCTCCTAGAGAGCTAGGATTACAGGCGTGAGCCACTGCGCCCAGCCTAGACCATATTCTTAAGAAGTGGCACTGTTCCACCTAGAATGAGATGAATAGATGAGTATTTCCTAGTGAGGCATCACCCGGCCCCTCCAGGCAGTCTGACCCACACGCGTAGGTGTGTAGCCCATTTGGCTTCTGCTGTAAGGACTGAAAACAGTTTGTGAATTACACCATGTTAGCATCCCTTTTTGGGGGAAAAAATATAGAAAAGGAAACCAACAGGCAGGAAGGTTGAGGTCCTTTCCCAGAGTCTGCAAAAGACCAGGCATTTCAACTGGCGGAGTCCCCTATGCAAACAGACTAGTAGTAGGTTCAAGGTTAGAACCTATTGATCTCAATCCACTAATCCCTTACTCTAGAACACGACAACCTGCATTATCCCTTCGACCTGGAGAAACTACCGGGGGCCTGGACATGCACCTGCGCTTGTGCAATGACTCAAGGTCATTGAAAGGCACAGGATATTCCATTAGGGGGCCCATGACATTCACAACGGCTCACGAGCCTCCCTTCCAGGTACAGGGCAGGCTGCCTCCTCCTGCCCCTGTCCTGGCACGGACACTCCCCGAGGCCGGGGTGAGGGTATTTATCTGGGAGACTGGAGGAGACCAAGCACCCAGTCTGCCCTGGGGACAGCACAGCTGAAGGCAGAAAGGGCTCCCTGCCAAGGCAGATCACAGCAAATGACAACGGAACATTCCCCCCACCGCCCGCAAGGCCTGTGCAGAACCACATCTTGCGGGTCTGTTGTGGGCTGAGAGCCTTAGGGTGGGAAAAAGGAAAGAGTGACCTAGAGGCCAGAAACTCCTAAAAGTTTTGCCTGGGAGGCTCCTGGAGAGAAATCTGCCCAGCTTGTCTAATGACATCGCTTAAGCATTCTCCTGCCTTCTGCCTGTTTTCTCTGAACTGTTAACGGTGAAGTTAATTACTTACAATTAATTACAATAACAAGAACTATCACAGTTCCTAACAATTGCAACCACGTGCTATCTTTATCTTGGTCCGCTCAGACTGTCTCCTCCAAGTACCTCAGGAAAATTCCTTCAGGAGAGGGCCTAGCCTTAATGTGGCACCACTAAGCACCAGTCACTAGAGGCTAACATACGTTAATTACCTCATTTACTTCTTAGGACCACATTATATCATAGGGAATATTATCTTCCGTATTACTGATGAAGAGACTGAGGGTCAGAGAAGCTAAGTAACTTGCTCAAGGATGTAAATGGAATAGATTGCACATTTTTCCATCAGGCCTTATATCCACTTGAACCCAAAGAATTATTACTACACAAACTTTGGACAGTACTGATGTGCAAATAACCAACAGATCAACTACATTCTACGTAATCTGACTCTGAATTCTAGTCTCTGTCATTTTTTTCCTTTTTTATACCTGGGGATAACAGCGTCCACAGCTTTTGTTCCTTTAATAGCCAGACACACCGACATACAGTGATGAAATGATTTGTTTAATCATAAATTAACTACTGTGAAGAGAACTAATCAACCATGGTAAACCAGAAGGAATCCAATCTTCAAAAGAGGTTAAGACATATTTTTAACCCAGAAGGTTCGGGATATAGGTGATCTTTTTCTCTCTTTGCTCTGAATCAAGTGAGAATGTTAGTAAGGGACACACAGTGGTCACCCCTCAAACTCACAAACTCAGGAAAAATAACAGACACAAAGAGCAGTTAAAGGCGAACAACACACGCCTCCAAGGAACAGGACAGAAATTGGCTACAAGAGCCCGGCAGATTCTTAGGGGTGAGAGGCAACCGTTTAAGGCAAAAGTGTTCTCAGCTTGTTTCAATTTATACCTTTGGAGAATTTACACACACTTTGAACTTCTGGGTGGATAAACAGGAACATAATTCCTAACAGATTATTATTGCCTTGCAAACATATTTGCTAACGGAAATCTCAGAAAAACAGCTGATGAAAGAATCTACAATAAAGGGCCTCGCAGATTTATTTCTCTCCCAAAGTTTTCCAGCTCACCCCAGTAGGGAATTGGGTTTGGAAATGGTTTCCTTCCTTTGTCCGACAACAAAATCAGGTGTAGACGATGCCGACTGGGCTGTCAAGAGCAGAGGTAGTACAGGCTGCGTGATAAGGATTAGGAAAACAAAAATGGATCCTAGAGGTAAAGTTACTCTAAACGTCAGGTCCTGGCAGAGCAATATCCTCCACATATTTGCTATTAAAAGCAAAAGAGACAGAAAAAAAAAATGGAAGAGTTCCAAAAAATTAAAAATCAGACCTGCAGTTACATTCTTGTGGCACTGAGGGAATAATCTTTTCTTTAACCAAACGTCAGCTGGCAGCCAGTCTGGGTCGAAATGTAAACAATTCTAATCCACACCGCAAAGCAGTTTTGAAAAAGAGTGTTCAACACAGAAAACGGTAGACTTTCTCGGAGAAGAGAGAGGAAAACTGGAATGGAGGGCTTCTAAATAGGGCAAAAGAATTTACCTGTCTGTGGAACAGACTTTCAGGGGAAAAACAAACAAACAAACAAACAAACAAAATCTGGAGATGTCTCACAGGCTTAGATCGAAATTGCCTCTGGTGAGATGAATACAGAAAGCTAAGCAAAATAAGGCAAAAAAGGCAAAAATAAGACAACCCTGAATTCAGTCCGACTGCTCTCCCACCCCCGGCCCCCATGACATGCCTGTGCCTTTGAGCTAAGTTTCAAAAAAAAAAAAGTCTTCACTTCTCTCCAGGGTTTTAAAAAAATCAGATTAAGTTGGAAGGCAAGCAGAGGCTGGATTAATGATTGGGAAAAACAAAAAGGATTAAGTATCCGGCCGGGGAGAACTTTACTGTGCAACCAGAATGTCAAAGGCATCTCTCTACTGTTTCCTCCCAAAGAGGCTTCTCCCTCCGGGGCAGACGGCCAGGGCTGAGCCATTCAGCTTGTATTTTTCATTCGAATTCCTCCTTCAGATCCCTCCGTGGCCAGTGATCTAAATGCCAAGAGAGAAAAACGGAGGGTTTCAACTCACCTTTTCGAGTGTCTGTCTGGGGCTCTCAAAGCAGCAGCGAGTGGGCACCTCTCACCCCTGCAGGTGGACCGGGCAGCTCCTTGGGCGGCCTGAGCTGTGACCAGCCTCAGCTTCGGTGTACAGGTGCCTGGAGGAAGGAGGAGGGCATTGGTCGGTCCCGAGCAGGAAACGGGTGACATCACGGAAGCCAAGGCAGATAAAGCATTGCTAGGACCTTAGGGATTGAAACAGTCAGTAGGTCCCGCCCACCTGTCATTTACCTGAATACCTGCAAGCAGGTAGGCGGCGTCTTTTCGTGGACAAATGAATCAGTTAGAGCAATTTGCCAGGTGGAATTTACTTTCTTTCCAGAGCATGTGTCCAGCCCCGTGTACGGATGTGAATTTAAATGCCTGGTTGTTTCCCAGGCCCTCCCCCTCCCCAAAGCTGCCTATAAAAGGGTTAAAAGGGAAGTTAAAACGCCAAAATGAGACAGTAATTTAGCAGGCACAGAAAGGAAGAGTGTGAAGATTGACTGCTTAGAAATATCAGAGGTTGACCCCCAGGGCCTTTTTGAACGGCAGCCATTCGAATACCAGGTGTTTCTCTGTTCCAATATTGACACATTGGAGGTGATACTTTCATTTTTTAAAAATCTGAGTCTGGGTGTGGTGGACCACGGCTGTAATCCCGGCACTTTGGGAGGCCGAGGCAGGAGGATTGCTTGAGGCTGGGAGTTCCAGACCAGCCTGTGCAACAAAGTGAGGCCCCCGTCTCTACAAAAAATAAAATAAAAAAACCCCAAACAGCCAGATATGGTGGCACATGTCTGCAGTCCCGGCTACTGGAGCCCAGGAGTTCCAGGCTGCAGTGAGCTACGATGACGCCACTGCACTCCCGCCTGGGCAACAGAGTGAGACCCTGTCTCAAAACAAGCAAAACATCTAAATATGACCATTGTCAGCAGTTTTAAAGTCGTTTTCAAACACTTTTCCCTATCTGTCCCTTCCATCCCAGCATTTTAATTCCATAATCAGGAGTTTGCAAAACTTCAGTCCGTCCCACCTGGGCTAGCTTGGCAGTTAGAGATCACCGGAGGCGTGCAATTAGGAGCAATTTCAGTGATTCAGATCGGAATGATAGTACAGTAATAAGGAGACGCAGGCTGCTGTCAGAGCCAGGAAGGAGGAGTCAGAGCTATTTCTGTCCCCAGCGAGGTGTGTGACCCTGGGCAGGTCACTGGTTGCTTCAGCCCTTCCAGCAGGAAAGGGCAGGTAACGCACCGGCCTGCGGCAGGCACCACGCTGCCTGCTAAAGCCTTCGGCATCCTTCCAGCAGCGCGGTAAACAGCTCCCGTCATCCTGTTGAAACGTCGTCTATTCCTGTGACCTGCGTCCAGCATCCCTGGACACTTTACTCACTCTCTGGAATGTGCTACCTGGACAAACCGTGGATTCCTCCTCCCCCCAGCATGGCCTGCTTGCCCACAGACTTTTTCCCTCCCCTTTTAGAAAATAAATGTTGACATTCCTATTTTCCTCCCCTCTCCCCTCCTGCTGAGATTGGGGTGCGGATGTCACACGTCCTAACACTCTGCTAGGCAGAGGGGCTCCGGCCGGGGAGGGGGGAGGGAAGGACGCCTGGATTGCTGTGGGGCCCAGCCAGTCCTCCAGCCAAGGGGACAGCAGCGGGGAAGGGAGGGGAGGGGACAGAAACTCCAGCCCGGGCGGGGTGCGGGGCAGGCTCGGGTACTGCACCTGGACTGCTCCTCGCCCCACGCCGCCTCAGACAGGTCTGCACTGCCTCCGTCCAACTGGGAACTCCGTGTGCTTTAAGGAAAAAGAAGAAAAAGAAACCCTATTCACCTCTTTATCCAATAGACACGGAGGTAGGTGTGGCTACTCCCTAATTATCAAATACAAAAAAAAAAACCACAGGTGAAGGCAGCAAAACCTTTTACATGCAGGTGTTTCAGGGATACGTTTCAGGCCACCTGATTGATGCCTAACCGGGGTATCCCCAAAACTTGGACAGGGCGTCCCCTGGGGAAGGGCTGGAGCAGAGCGAGCCCCCTACCCGATGAATCTTCTAGAAGGCCACGCCTCACCTTGGGCCGAGGGCGCCAGATCACACCTGGGAGGAGGAAGCCCAGGCCTAGTTCCAGGCCCTTGGGCGGGTGGAGAGTGAGGGGAGATGCGTTTGCAGGAGCTGACAGTGCCTAAAGCTGCCCTGAGGGGCCTCACGGCCGTCTGCATATGTGGTCTGACGAATTAAAAAAGAAAAAGAAAAGAGAGAATAAGAGTTAATTCCAGAGTGGAGCTGAGTCCCAGGTACAGTGGAGAAGGAAGAGAAAAAACTATTTTACAATCAGCCGACTGAAATGAGATCTTTCTTGGCGCTCCTGGATTTAGAATAATCTTCAAAGTTAAACAACATCAATATGGGCTGCTTTTGCCATTAGGATTATTATATTATAATGGAAATGATATTTCTAGATATTAGAGAAATGATGAAAATAAAAATCATAAAAACTAACTTTGAGTAAGTGCTTACCAGGTGCTACTTAATGTTCTAAGCACATTATACAACAACCCTGTAAGTCAGGAATCATTGCTGTTTGCCTTTTACACTTGGGAAACCAAGACACAGAACAGCTGAGAAGTTTCCTAACAACAGCTAGCCCAGCAAGTGGCAGAGCCAGCATGGTTTTTAACCAGGGCCCACTTTTTTTTTTTTTTTTTGAGACAGAGTCTCACTGTGATGCCCAGGCTAGAGTGCCGTGGCGTCAGCCTAGCTCACAGCAACCTCAAACTCCTGGGCTCAAGCGATCCTCCTGCCTCAGCCTCCCGAGTAGCTGGGACTACAGGCATGCGCCACCATGCCCGACTAATTTTTTCTATATATTTTTAGTTGTCCGATTAATTTCTTTGTATTTTTAGTAGAGACGGGGTCTCGCTCTTGCTCAGGCTGGCCTCCCAGAGAGCTAGGATTACAGGCGTGAGCCACTGCGCCCGGCCGGGGCCCACTTTTTAAGCCCTGGAAAGAGAAGGGGGTAGGTTCTGATTTCGCACTCACTGGGCAACTTCCTGGACACAAATTCAGCTTCTTACCTGTCCATTATTCAGAAGCAAGTGCCTTGTACAAGCAGTCTTGGGGAGTGTAGTTTCTGGTAAGGAATGTCTCCATTTGCAAATCAATTAGAAATCTGGTTTATGCATTGAGTGTATATGTACAGAATATATGTACATACATATACATTTGTACATATGTGTATGAAAAAACACACCAGGAAATCCATCACCCCTGGGTACACACTTGAAATCACCTTTTTGGGGCCTATCAAACCAACCCCAAGGAGGAAGACCAACTTAAGAGGCCTCTTGAGAATGACCTGTTGTAACTCTCTGTGACATCTTTTATGGTCCTTTCTCTCTATAGTATCATCAGTCTGTCCCTTTCAAATCTTATCAGAATGGCCGTAAGACCTTGGAACTGCATACAACTGGATAATATGAGACCATGTAAAATTAAGTTTCATTACAAACCACTGTTGAGATGAACGGTTTCCACCAGGGTCGGCCAATCTTAGACACACACTGCTCCATCCCCTCCTCCCTCACCATTCTCAGTGTCCTTGCTAAAGGACCATGGTGCCTCGAGGGATTCAGAGAGATGGTTAAAAGGACAGACCATGCCAGACAGGGCAGCAGACAGGGCAGCAGCCTGGGTGTCGGGGAGGAACCCGTGTGCGGAGGCACAGGAAAGGAACGTGAGATGATGAGATGTTCACCTAGCCGGGTGCAGAGGACCAGCCAATGCTAAATTTGGATGAGTAAGAATATAAAAAGCCTCAAGAACTAACTGCTTCCTATCTCAATTGGCGACTTTTTAAAAACAGCTTTTTTTAAAAAAAGAAAGAAACTCATTGTCTTGGGCACAGGGTCATTTCTCAGGAGTGACAGCGTTTTCAGTGTTGAGTTAACTTCCAGGATATGCCATTGCGGCTACCGTATGAGCTTTCTCTTTCGGAGCCCGGCTCCTTTGCAGTCAATACATCCTGGAAACTTTGTTTTTGGGAGAGGCAGGTGGAAAGCATTAGAGAGCTCTCTGAACTCAAGGTTGGGCCTGTCTTAGTTAACCAGCCGGCTCACTTGGGCTTTTTGATTAGTTTGAATTCTTTTATGTATCTTGACAGGGAAATCGGAGGGAGGAAGGAGGTCTACTTTCAAAGCTCTTTATTTCTAGATCCCCACAATGAAGGGTGGCATCTCAAGGATTCCTCCTGGCAGCGAACCTGTGGCTGAGATCATGGCTTGTGATTCGGCAGAATTTCTTCGCTCCTGTTTTGCTTCCCTTTTGTTCCTCGCAGCGTATTTGTAGAGTTGCTGAAGATGACTGAATGCCATAACACAAGCAAACATGTGGCGTCTGATTTTACTAAAAGGCATCTCTAGAAAAGGCCTCTTTGGCCATAGAAGTCTCATGTTCCACCGACTGAGCTAGCCGGGTGACCTTCAACCGAAGGTACTTAACATTATGAGATGGAATTGCTGTATACATTCCATCATACTGACCTTAATGTTTTTTTTTTTTAAACTAGCTCAGCTCCAAATCTTTCACTGGCTAATTATAAGCGCTTTGCATAATGCAAAAATGCAGATCCCAGAAGGGCAATGATGGGAAATAATAATCACCATTATCAGCTGATGTGATCGATGCCACCTGGGTTTGTGCATGTGGAAGAGATTCCATTTCTCTCATAAACTCACCACCCTGTGTGTGCCTGGTTTGCAGATGAGCTTCTAGAGCACCCTATGGATCTACAGTTTAGCAGATGACACTTCTCTGGTTTGTGTGCTTTTTGGGGGAGAGGGAATATCTTATGGAAATTAGTATTAAATCAATTATTGAAGATGGCACACATTTTGTGAAGCCTTCCGACACAGATTTGCGGTCAGCACACTCTTCTTTAGTAGCAAGACAAAGACTTCATTGCTGTTTCTATAATAATCACAAGGCCTATGTCTTATGATAATTATAAATATTTTTATATTTATATAATCCTCATTCTTGCATAAACAGGGTAGGTTATTCTCAAGCAATTTCTTTGGTGGTGGTGGTGGTTACTATTTTGAAGGTTGTCATTCTTTGTTTCTTTTGTGGTTCTTTTATACATGGCTATCTCAGTGGGCCCAGTTCCATATATTAAGAAATAGATA